CAGCAGGATCCTGTATGTAGTTCCATTAAAAAGGTGTTCTATTAATTTTTCCTGTGTTAGGAATGTGCTTTTCGGTGTAAACAGGTATGGTCTGGGCTAAAACTCTTGCCTCATGAAATATGTTGCCCTCCCATCCTTTCCCTTACAGAAAGAGATAAAACTACCTTTCCCTGTCCTTCTTCCATTTTGAGCCCTCATGTAAAAAGGTGTGTGATTTTGGAAATAACAATAACTATGATATCTGACTATGCTTTAAACATTTAGATGTAAGCATCTGATAGAGCACTAGGGTTCTACATGAAGATTGCAGAAGAAATCTCCCAGAAGGTCTGTGATGAAAGTGAGGCACATAGTGGCCATGATGCTAGTTCACATCTAAAAGGGTACAGCCCTAACAGAGGCAATAACGAAGAAAATAAGACAGCAGATGAAACAGAAGATTCTGCCTGAAAACATTTTGTTAAGTAAAAAGAAATAAAACCTTCAAATTCAGGATCAGTCAAGAGATTAAAAAAAATTAATTTAAAAAAAGAAAAAAAATAAATCTGAGTTTCTGTTGCAGTGCAATTGAAACACGAGCGACCACATCAATGATAACCAGAAGTCAAAAAGAAACTAAAGTGGAAGCACTACAACTTACCCATGGCTTCAGAGTCACTCAAACACATGTTTCTACTTTCTGACAAGTACACCCTAATTTTTCGTACTCTGGTAGCAAAGGAAAGCAAAACACAGAAGCTACAAATCTAGACGTCGTCTGAATCTGCCACAAAATCAATCTTGAAAATTGAAGTGAGAAATGAAGCCAAGAACAGAACCTTCTCGCAGTGTGTTTATGCAGGTGTGCCATCTGGTGGAGAGGTTTCACCCTCTGATGTCAAACCTCTGTAATGGATTTTTATTATCTTAAAATACAGACTAAGATTCAGCAGCAGTTTTTCAAACTGTTGAAAAGACCATGTAAAAGATACTATATCACAACCAAGGAGGGCAAACAGCAAGGACCTGAACATCTTAATTCAACAGTAACTTCTAAAATATACTCTCAAGTATATCAGCAATTTATAAGTGATGGGAACAATCACACAACATACAGGATCTGATACAAGTTGTTACCTCAGTCTGAAGACAAATATCCCCCATCTGCAAGTCAACATAGTTTTAGAATGAAGGTTTCTAATCCAGCTGTTGAGACACGACAGCCTCTTAACTGACCTGCTGCAGACTTCATGAGCACAAGAAGAAAGGCAAACCATCTGCCCACCATCCTGTTGAACAGCAGACTATAAATGGAGTTCTCAGGAAAATTAAGAACAGGGAAAGCATCTGTTTCTTTGCCCATTTCCACCTTAGGAATCTTTTGGGCTGGATGTAGTTTTCTAGCACTGCAGGTGAACTGTTAGCATCTGTGTGGTTTTGGTGAGTTCCATACATCTCACTCGGCGCTGCATGAAGAACCACTGCCTTTGGTTTCTTTTGAACCTGTGTTCATGTTCATTCTGCACTCCCTCATTCTGGCACCAGGAGGGACAGCAAACAATCAACACCCATTTTTTCCATGTCATTTACGACCTTGTAGGTCTCTGTAACATATCCCCATTAAAAATTCCTCCCTTTATCACATTTTTCTCCGGAAACAGAAATACTAGTTTACTTAATCCCTGATACGGAGGTTATACGAGAAATTATTACCAGTTTTCTTTCCTGCCTTCTCTGAACCTTTAACAGTTCTAGCCTACCCTTTATGAGATGAAGAACCAGAACTGCACATAGTATTCAAAAGACAGAGATGACCCAGGCATAAAGACATCCCTTCTATGTGAAGATAATGTCTGAGTTATGCTCTCCCTCTCTGCTGTGTAGCCCTGGATATACACTGGATTTCACCTGCCTGTCATTCTACTGTGGAGCCACTCTCTTCAAAACTACCATTCAGTATCAGCTCTTGCCTCTACTATCCTGAATATCTCTGCATCACCACCAAAGTGTGTTACCTCACTGCTTATCCTCTTTTCCCAAGTAACTTGTGAGTATGCTGAACACTGTAGGATTGCAGAAATCTACAGGTAAGCTCCTCATTCTGCAAGGACAGATCAAATGCTCCACTGCTTTTCAATTTTTCTAACTGGTTTCCATTTACGCTACAGCTACACAGTTTCTTCTAAAATCTTTGGTAACAGACCTTATCAAAAGCCTTTTGGAAACGCAAATACCCTGCATCTTTGGCCAAAGCAATTTTCAAACTAGGAAAGAGGAATTTTTCAGTAATAATAGGTCTTGTTTTAATATTACCATGCAACTGTTTTCACCTGTGCCTTATCCTAGGTAATAAAAGGGTCGATTCTTTAAAAAGCTCAGCGCCAGCTTAACACATCTGTGCATTAAAACATCTGTGCTTTCACCATATGAACCTTTGTTTCTGGCTAACTGGAGGCCAAACAAAGATTTTCGGTCCCCAAATTCCAGTGCTAAATGTTCACCATCAGTCTTTGAAGCACAAAGCTGACACCTGCTTGTTTCCAGGTAAGAAAAGGATGAGCATATGTTCTCTTCACCGCTGCATCTTTCATGGTTTAAGATATACAGTGTCTTCAGAAAAAATTGCATTTGTAAGGTCTGACCTTTTGCATTAGAAACGTACTTGTAATTCAAGACAGGAATATGCCCCGTACTGAGTGGAAACCTTACCACACCTGCTCCACCGGAAATTGCAGATGCACTTCTGCTACAGACAGGGGAAAAATGGCTATGTCTAAAATATATAAAGTTAAATGCTTACTTGGCTTTAAATGGGGAATCAGAGACAGCATTTTTTGCTTCCATCAAACTCTCATATTCCTTTGCCCTGGAGGAGAAAACATTCATTATTATTGACTATTGTCTAAAGAGTACAGTATTAGTACCAGAGAGGTAATTCTAACCTTTGGGTTTTTCTTATACCAAACCACAGCATTTCTGTCAATTCTGCCCTGTCATAATCCATACTAGCACTTAACTATTGGCCATTAGTGATTTATGACTAATATTATTACTTTAGAATAACATCAGTACACAAATGCTGTATTTAAGTTGACTTCCCCTATGGCAGAAAATGGTACAAATGATGTAAAAACTGAAGTAACCTACTGCTTATTGTAAAATTACCACATTCCTCTGACTGATCAAAGTATTAGTAATTTTGACATGCAGTGCAGAACAGAAATTATGCATCCCAGAGATTATAATTAACACAAATAATTGTTACATCTACACGCACAGGAGCATTTTTAATGTAACTAATGACTGTATTGTAACATAAAGAACCTTGCTAAGCATACAGCACAATACCTCCACGAATTATTGTTTTACTGCTGGAAACAGAAACACAAAACTTTAGCCCCCTAAAAGTATTATTTATGGTGGCCTTACGCCAAAAAGCAGAAAGAAGGAGACAAGACTTTTTCCCACTGCTTTGGTTTGATTCCAGTCAGCCTGTGTCAACAGGTGAAAATCACGACCAGCTCATCCACAAAAACAGGATTCACAGTGGTAATGCCATAACCTTTTTTTAACAACATACACACACAGAGGAAAATGAATCCAGACACTACACTGATGCAGAAAAATCCAGTTCTCAGAGACAGAGAGCCCTGTGATGAAGCAGCATCCACCAGGCATTAAAAGCATGTAACTGTTAAAAACATTTGATCCACTAAAATTGCTCTTTCCATTATGATTCTGAAACGAAGACTTCACAGACACAACACGTATCTCTGGAGGCTTTGGGAAGATCCGCTGCTCAAGCCTCTTGAGGTTGTGTTCTCGGATGAACAAGGGACAACATCCTTCATGGCTTGGAAAATTCTGCACATAAACCTGTACACACACGTGAAGGACACTGAACTAGCACGCTGGGCTTACACCAGTGATAAGGTTTGGGATCTCTATGTCTCTACCAAGAGCACCTGTACCAAGTTCCAGAGAAAAGTGCCTTTTGTCCCCCTCAGGACACAAGCAGAAAAAAAGCCTGCCCCCCAAGGAAACTTTCATGCACAAAAATGGTGCCTACTATTAATCTTCAAGGTATTCTGCATATTCACTGCTGTCAGTTGACATTCTTGTCAACTTTACCAATGTTCAATTTGTTTTTTTCAAATCTAAGACTTTTACAATGCCTTCCAGCGGAAAACTTTGCTGCGCTGCAAAGAAAACAGTTTAAAGACTTAAATCCTATTATTTCTCTTACAGACACATACTGAACGATTCTTTGTATTTTCTGTTCACCCAAGTGGATCAAATTTCCCTTTGGCTTGCTTAACCTACACAACTGATGCTACATGCAAATATTGGTACATTACCACTAGCTCTGATTTGTGGATCATTAATAAAGCTATTCATCACAACTGAATTTAGTACTAAACATGAAGGTGAAATTCCTTTATTAACCTTGTGCCTTCCTGCCTGCCTTTTAGCCAGAAACAACACATTTCAGCTCTGAGTTTGGTACAGACAAGTCAGTCAAACATGAATAATAACCTTAAATATCTGTTATTAAATGAACATGACTGGAGTGCTATAAATCCACTGCACAGCACATCTCAAGTGTATATACTTCCTGGCTGGTAACTACCCCTCTATTGCTTGAGGTTAGCTTTCATCAAGCCTTCTTTTGCCACATGGGTACCAAAGTATTCTCCTGCTAGCAGCACATCCATGTTAGCCTGAGATAATTTACTTAGCTATATATCAGTCGTTACTATAGCACCAGTTTAACGGCTAAGGGTTATAAATGTAATTAATAAGACTAACAAAACTTCTCAACATATCTAATAACCCACTGATCACAATTTGTCCCCTCATTCACCTTTGCCCTTCATTGCTTTGACATTGTAATAGTGATTTAAGATCTAGAAACTCAGGAGAGCAACAGGAACCTATTTGGATATAGTTAGTTATGGTTTTTTTCAAGCTTCACAGCTTCCTAGAAACTGAAATGAATGTATCATTTCAAGTCTTGAGGTACAAGGGAGTTTGTTACAACTATTTCTTTTTCTAGAGAAGAGGAATAATTGCAAGTATGTACTAAACTATGGCTTGCGGATAATGTGTTAACACCTGGGAAACTATGTGACTAATCAACACCAAATACTCTTCACCTTCAAATCATCCAAAATAAATTAAGTACTTTGACTATATATTCCACTTAAGTTCTGAATGGATTTTGAGCAGTAAAGTCCCCACCATCTGGTGGTAGCACTGTCCAGGCTGCTGTGCAGAAACACAGTAGATGTTATCTAAATTACTTAATTTAGTATTTCATATTGTAACTCTGAGGTTATTGCTTTAATTGCTTTAGACACATAACTTAAGATAATCCTCTTTCATTTTCTGAACATGGAAAATCTGCTCACCTCACCAGTAACAAGCTTACATGCAGGATCCAGGCATATGGCTATTACTGTCACTCAAGTGTCCATTTTAGTAACTGTAGAAGACTGGCAAGACTTGCATGACTAAAAGTAATTTGCAAAATGGATTCCACCAACCCCCCCCCCCCTAAATCTTTTAATTTTCAAAAGGGGTTCCCCCCACCCCCCCCCCCCATCCATTTTTTGTTTGAAATTCCATGGAAGAACCTTTGCTTCATACTGCTGCTGGACACTTCCATTAGTAATTCTTTTGTGTTAACATTAGGAAAGTCATGGTGAAACCTTCATTTTAACTCTCAGTTATCATCTAGGACAGTAATGCCATTGAAAGTTTAGTCACCCTTTAAACTAAACCCAAGCTTAAGGAACACGAATTTCATGTCTCGTCAATGTAACTCCTCTTAGATTTTGAAACCTTCACTGTATTTTTCAATGGTCTATCACCTTTGTAAAATGATGCCCCTTTATTGCTGTTTTAACTACAATTCCTGATGATGAATATGCTGACTCACCCAGCAGCCTGACACATGAGAATGCAAAATGTCCTGAAAAGTTTTAACTATCAGTGCCAATAAATTATTATTTGAGCTTGTATTCCTAGCTCTGACAAATCCTTGACCAAATTCAACAGAAGCAGCTGTTGAGAAAGCTTTAAAGTTGGACCCAATATCTGCATTAAATCAACAGGTAATATGAATAACTCTTTATCTCGAGCAATCAGAAACTGGAAGAATACGTTATCCAGTTTCAACAGTGTGTTCTAATGGGGTACTCAGACAGTGGATTTGCTTATCCAAAGAGGAAAACAACCAGAAACAGCCATACATTGTCAAGGTACTGCGGTTTTGAAGGCTAACATGTTGTTACTAGCACTGTTATGAGTTAATAAAATATCCCATTTTTACTGTAGCTCTAAAAATCCATCCAGGTGCTTTTCTCTTATTTGTAACCCTTCTTGCTTAAAACCAGTCAGAGAACGTAAGTAACAATGATTCTTACCTTCTGAGAAGTATGTTCTTTGCAAAAATATGCTATAATATTCAGTTAAGTATTAATCTCAGCTGGGGACTATTCAGCTATGAAGACTGATGCTGCCGGTTCATGATATAATGATGTCCTGCATATCATACAGATTTGCAGGTGTCACTTTTTAGACTAATAACGAATTGCAGGTCTGACAACTCACTTGCCATCTTAAGATATTTTTAACTTTCTTTTTGTTGTGACAGGCAACAAAAAATGATTAAATTTAGTCCTGGGATTTGACACTACAGCAGGCTGCCTTCTATTTGTTGATTACTATTGATTTTCTTTGATACTTCATTTAAAAATCAATAGCTAGAAAGAAAAATAGGCATGGTTTACACAAATTTAAACATGCTATTGTATGCTAGAAGAGGCTACAGTTTTGGCAGGGCACTGGCATTCAATTATGAGAAAAGCTCTTAACAGGTGAAACCAAGGGCTCCAGATCAATATTCAGTTTTCTTTCTCAATCAGAGAAAGTGGCCATAAATTTGGCTCATCAGTGTTATTTTCAAGACACTCCCAAAGCAAATAATTTCACATTTTTTTCAGCTTTCCATGGCACTCATACTAAAGGACAAAAGGTAAAGTTTAGAGCAAAATGTAAAGAAAAAATAAATCTAACAGAAATCTGTACTACCTGGAGTTCATCCGTGCCTTTAGCTTCTTGGCTTTCTTTTTAGTCTTTTGCTTCTCCTCTCCATCTTTTAATGGTTCCACAGGAACAGAACTCTCTATCACAATATCCACAATGTATTTCTTTAATGAAAGGTGCTCCTGCAGAAAAAATTGAAATAATATTTGATCTTACAGTATGCGACTGAGGTTATAGATCACCTTCCCAGGAACCAACAGTGGTGAGTATTTAACAAAAGCTTAAGAAAAATGATGAAAAACTTTAAACCAGATTTTGAGTAAGAAATTATTGTACACTGTAGAGAACACATAATAGGTATTTTGGAATTAGGGAGAATACTTAGTGAGAGAAGAAGAATATTGTCCCTTATTTGCAAGAAACTATTACTTAGCAAGTATGAACTCCAAGTTGACATAATCTCCTCTTCTCCAAGCTGCTGTTTACAGCTACATGAAGCCAATGCCCTGCCCTACCAACATAACTCATTACATTAAACGAACTAGCCCTGGTTTGTGGTTATAACTCTTCATGCAAATCTAAACCTGTCTTAACTTTTTATTAAAATATATGGAAACTATTCACTACTTCAATGGTACCATTTATTGATGGGAATATTACTTCTCCTCTCACATTAACCAATTTGCAGTTAAGTAAAATATCGGTAAAATCTCAGTTGTCCACAGAAGAAACATTTTAATTATGAAATAGTTTGGTTTTGACATAATAGCATGCAAGAAAAGGGAATGCGATCACAGCATGTGATTGTAAATAAATGCTTTGTTTCAAGATTAAAAAAAAATGTAACAAGAACTTCCCTATTTCCCCAGAAGAACTTTCACATTTATAGACCACCCATATACAGTTCAAGGTCTACATATTTATCAATCAGAGACAAATAACCAACAGAGCTATTCTCCTAAAGCTGTTCTCGATTTTGATTGACCTATGCTGTCCATGAACAGACATGTAGGTGCCTGTAACAATTCCAGTGACCAGTGGACTATCCAGAAACTACATGTGCAAACAACCCCACCCGCCCAAAAAACAGATGCTGAGCACATGATGAACTATAGGTAACCACTGCTTTGTAAGATAATTTCTACTTGAAAATGATTTGTGCCACTATCAGTTGTGGTTATTCCTTCCTTTTGCTACAGGATCCTTATAATGCAAAGTAAAAGGTGAAGTGTTAAAAGATTTATAGACAATATTTTCCAGAAAACAAATTATATTTTCTTTCACTGATTCAGGAAAATATGATGCCTGTTGAAAACAAAATAAATCTCTGCGAAATTTCCTGGAAAAAGACCGTTTAGTTTTTGTAAAGCATCGCTGCATGATCCAACCCAGCAATATATATTTGGTCAAAGGAGTAATTGAAATTTCCATTTTAAATCATATGAATGCAAAATTAATACTGAGTATTGGACATAAGAAGACATCAAGCATAATAATCTAAGCAAATTCTAAATGTAACACTGACTTTAGCTTTGATACACTGCTGACCCTGTATAACCCCCCAGTACAGCCAGTTTTTCCTCAATGTATTGTCCAAGTGATCAAACCACGGATACCGCTATCTCCATATGTAACATAATTTTTACAGCTTTTGTAAGCATTGCCCCCCTCCCTTTTAATATTATCCTTGTAATTTCAGCATGATGTGCTTAAAGGAGAACTTTTCTTAAGGTATCTTGAAATGTTGTCACCTTTGAGCATGACTCAGTAGTACAAGACTAGCAAACCAGTTCTTGATGAGTTAGCTCTTTAACCAAGCGGTAGTAGCACAGAACATAAACCATCCCAGTGCAGGTTAAGAAACCCCCATCCATTTTTGTCTCCTTAGAGATGTATCCCTCAACACCCATTTAATAATAGCTTTTCCCTCAACCTCTCTTTTTGAAAACAGAAACCTGCTCATAAGGTTGCAACTTCACAGGGAACTGCTGAGTTTGAGTTTTCCAATGCTAAGAAAATAAAGGACTTCCTCAGAATACACTGCTACTGCTCCTGCTTTGCTACCAAGCTTCAGTGTACTTAACCTGTGTGGATGCTCAGTTATTAAACAAAACATATTAATTACTTCAGTGGGATTTCAGAGGTACATCCTTGCTTTCCAAACTGAACTAGTATACCTTAGCACTGTACTTTACTTCATGTCATGCGAGCAAGATGAAGCACTTGTAACATGTAAAGCTAACAATGACTATTACTATAGCTCTACGTCTTTGTTCAACTGTGAAACTGGATTTTTGGTTCATCAGATCTTCAAATCATTTCCTACATCCTTCAAAGTGACAGCAGAGCAAAATGAAGTTAACAATGCACTTGGAAATGGCCTTACAGAAGGGGCAGAACACCTCCATCCAGGCATGGTCAGCCTGCAGTCCTCCTGTTGCACTGCAACAAGCAAACATGGTATCAGACTTCTGTCTGTGAGAAGTGAGACAAAGCCTTGTGTCCCCCTGAGCAGCCATTCATGGCTCAGCAGATGCCTTGAAGAGAACTGCAGGGTTCAACAAGCACACTCATTTATCACCCTGTGAGGGCTGAAAGAGCGCTCTCTCTCGCTGTCAGCAGCATGCAGGATGGTTACAGACCACTCCGTTCACATGAACCCCGGCACCTCCATGAACGACGTTTCTCAGAGTTCTCAGCTTTCACGTGTGGCAGTTTGGATTAATATCAGACTTCATACAAGCAGCTCATTAAAGCAAGACTACCTTACTTGTAAAGTAATAATACCTTGTGTCACAAAAACAATCACTTTTTGAAGGCACAGATCAAAGCGTAGGATTATCGCGGTGGGCAGATCGACACCATTCAGGTGTGAAACAAGTCTAACTAACAGCTTGGTATCGAATGACAACTGACATCTGAAGAGAGCTGCTGCCAGACCATGCTTCAGAGCAGCCTAGAAACATTTATTCCCATGTTTTATTAAGTTCCTTCCAGTTACCTGAAAAAACAAAGGTGTTTAAACCCACTGAGTCACACTCAAGTACCGTGTGTCCAATTCTTTCACTAACCAAATTCGTGACTCACTTGACCTGCACAACGGGTTGCACGGGTTAACGTACCATAAAAGTAATTGCCATGACTGTATGAAAGGGAGTGAAGCCAGTGCAGTGTGTAGAAAGCAAACTTTTGTCATCTTCTGAATGCTTTTATTTAGGCAATAATGAAACCATTCAATTTCAGGGTTTTTTTCTTTCTAATAAAGGTAATGCAGAACCACCGTGTAATCCAGTCACTTCCTCCTGAAAGCATTTATTTATTATTATTTTTATAGAAATATATGCTAAATGGAGTAAATATTTCTGAGACTAATTTACACTCTCTAAAGAGGAGTTCGGGGTTTGTCTTCATGACAATGTGAAGGAGGATTCCTTCATATTGATTCTTTGCTATGTTGAGCACATTCTGACCCCAAACCCTCAGATACTAGTGAGCCACCACATCTTTGGAGAATTTAGGCCATTATAAATGCAAAGCATTATTAATAAAGGCTCTTTTCTCATGAAAGCTTCTGTTAGTAAGATCTATACTCACACCTACCAAAAATGTTCATTGCAGTTTCAGTTTCTACACCAGCAATGCCAGTTTTAGATGTGCAATTTCGCTAAAGCTTTGTTTTAGAGACTTATGTATAATACAGTTGTTTTGCTGATCTTGTCCTAACAGAGTATTTTGTATCTCAGGATTAAAGCAGAACCAGCCATAATGGTCATTAAGCACCAGATTTCTGCCACTGTTTTTCACAACTCATCCTCTGAATGGCACAGCTGACACCAACTATGACTATGTCACAAAATAAGGTACCAGCTTTCAGGAAGATGGCAGAATCCATGCGACAAAGTCTGTCCTGTGCTGTGATGTGCAGCTGCAAAATATGGGAACAGGAATGGAATGCTGATTTCTTCATGATCATCCGTACGTATTGCTCTGTATGTGCTCGTACGGTGACGGCTCAGTGATGCATCAGAGTAGAAAATACTCCTGCTATTTCTCTCTACATGCATTCACCAAAACTAAGTTTTTTTACCTGTTTCCCAGAGGGAGACTGTCTCTTGCTGAAAAAGCTTATGAAACGTAAAGGTAACCTGGTAAATGTAAACGATTTGCTATTTAATGGCATCCTGTATGTGCACACGTTGTTATTTGACATAGCCATATAGACCGCTAAGAATTTCTATATAACACTGATGCCATTTTTAAAACAACCAAAATAAATTTCCTGTAAAAGTTTCAGCACTTCATTTACAAGCAAGGTGATAAAAACTAACATTAAATGCACATGTAAAGCTGCAGCCACCACAAAGCAGACATGACAGAAATGAGATTATTTACCAAAAATGTCTTTGCTTTTCTTCTCTGCTCCCTCCATCTCAACTGTTCTGACTTTTAGTCACTGAGAATCCTGAAACTTGCCAAACGCAACAGATGGGCCTCGTCTACAAACTACATGAGAAATCAAGTTGCCAAAACCATTAAAGCTAAAACTCTGAAGGGCACCCATGAAGTCACATTCTTGCTGGTTATTGCCTAGTCCCATCCAACTGCCAGAAACAGAAAAACCAGCCAGTTCACTTCGTATCTTGAAGTTCACAATTTCAGATGACTAAGCACTTCTTAGAACCAAGTTTTTCTCTATGCAATGACACGGCTTTTTCTTACACGAAACGTTTACATTATAAAGATTACAGAATTATTATCCATATTCTCTGAAATAAAGGACATTTTTCAGACTCCAGAACAAATATATGTGCAAAATTTTTCCATGAAAAGTGTAGCAAATACTACAAAATGCTGAAATGCTACGCAGTTGAGTACTGTCCATTTCAGTTTGGATGAGGAAAACCATACCATAAAAGCTGGATTCTGAACCTTGGTAATCTATATAAAATACAACAGCTGGAGAATAAATTTCCTGACACCCTCTTCATACAATACCCATACACAAGACTAGTACTCTTGACTAGCTCTCCCCATTTCATGTCCTGATCACAGCAACAACATCCATGTGTGATCCTGACAGATGGAATGCTGGCTATGTAATTATTTCCCAAATCAGAACACAACTGTAAAACTCTTTTCCTCCCTGATCTCTCTGCCTGTGACACTTCTGGCTCTCTGCATT